GGTAACTCGGGAACCAGGAAAGCTGGGCGGCTGAAATTTTAAACTAATGTTCCCAGCCTACATACAATTTAAAAATTTCAAACCCAGCCCCCAGGTATGCCTCATACTTACGTGCGGCCCTGTGAAAGTTTTGGCGGAAAAATTGTCAACTCGGGAAACAGAAATGCTGGTAAGCTAAGATTTTAGGAAAATATTCCCTGTCCAAATGCATCTGACAGGTTTCAAATTCAGCCTCCATGTGAGCGTGGTTCTTGTGTACGGGCACTTGAATTTTTGGCGGTGAAAGTTACTCATCGAACAGCTGGGTCATTTTCGAAACCCAAGCTGGAACGCACCAGGCGAGCCGGTGCGATCATACGTTTTTGCACCGACTGACAGACGAACACACACACATAAACATACATACACACACACACACACACAGACATGGTCGTCGCAATGTGCGTTTTTGCAATTTGCATATAGAAAAAAATGCATAAAAACGGCCGCTAAACGAAAATTGTTTATTTCCTTCTATGCAAAATTTGCAGTGATTTGTGGTATTCAGCGCAAAAGGTAGATGTGAAGAAACAACCGCTCATACATTTATCCTAATTACTTCAAGTTTGGTGCAAAAACGCATGATCGCACCGGCTCGTCTGGTGTTTTCCAGCCTGGGTTTTTTAACGATAAAAAGGTTAATCACAAGTAAAATCGCTCTTCGCATTTATTATACGTTTTTTTTTTATACGCAAATACAAGAACGCATATTGTGACGACCCGGGTGTGCGTGTGTGTATGCTTGTGTGTGTATGTGTGTGTATGTGCGTGTGTGTGCGTTTGTCCGAGTATTTCAACTCGGCATTAAATAGGCTCCGGCGCCAAAATTTCGCCAGTGGGTGCCCCCGGCCGAGTGCCACCCCGAGACCGCAGCGTTAACCTTCACGCATGTATGGGCCTTGCGTACGAGCGCATGAAGGTTTCGGCGTGAAACATTCCCTTAAAATTTCAGCCTCCCGGCAGAAAAGCTAGGAGGCTGAAATTTTAAGGGGATATTTTCGGACCAGGTATATCTTAAAGATTTCAAATTCAGCCTCCAGTTATGCGTTATTCTTAAGCACGGACTCATGAAACTTTTTAACGGGAAAGTTGATGACTCGGGAGATGGAAAAGTTGGGAAGTTGAAATTATAACGGAATGCTCCCTGCCCAGGTACTAGTTGCACAATTAACTTCCCGAACTTCGAGGACCAGTATGTCAAATTTCAGCCCTAGGATTTCCGAGCGATCTTACTACAGCACTGCAAAAAAGCATGATTGCACAAGCCCGCCTGGTGCGAGTCACCAATTATTTTACAACTTTAATAGCTCTGGATTACCTCCGCTTTTTATAAAATGCGGGCTGTGGCGGGATTTAATACTTTTTTAAATTTCTTTTGCGGTTCTTTTGCGCTACTGGAATCCGACTCAGTGCTGTTAGTTGTCTGCACGGTTTCTAGGAG